AGGCAAGCACTCTACCAACTAAGCTATATCCCTAGCCCCTATTTACACATTCTTTATGCTGCAAAGATCCAAGATTTTAATTTTCCAAAAACAAATCTAAAATTAATAAAATCATAACCCAGTTTTATCTCAGGGTAAGGAATTTTCTGTCTAGATGAGATATGACTAACTGAAAGCCTAGCAATTCCAAATGTTGCTGAGGCTGTGAACAAGTAAAAGTCTCCCATACACTGCAGGTAGGAGTGTAATTTAGTATACACTTATAGGATACAGTTTATACATCACAAACCCTTGCAATATCCCCCTCATCTTTAGATTTCCTGATCACAATGCCCACAACTGAAAAGTCATACCAAAAGTAATCTTTGGAGGTTTTCTTACTGGCATTATCATTACTACCACTCTAAACATCCCCAAATGGCTGAACTCTGGTCATTTGAAGTAAACCAAATCCTACTCTGTACAAAACAGCACTGAACACAGTAACACTGTATCTGAACCTAAAATATTTACTAAAGTGACAACTACTACAGTAAAACAAACTTCGTAGAAATAGGCACAGGCAATTGCATTCAGTTTTACTTCGTAGGTTATCTCAGTGTGACAAATGTGATATAAAACATATACAACGAGGGGCTGGGGTTATAGCTCTGTGGTATAGCGCTTGCCTCACACTTGTGAGGCACTGGGTTTGAGCCTCAGCACCACATAAAAAAAAATAAAAATGTTGTGTCCATCTACAACTAAAAAAAATATTTTAAAAAACACAGAATGAGTAAAAGGAGGGGAAAGTGTGACTACAGGAACTTCTAAAAACATTTAAATCTGCCTCAATCTCAAATTATGAAAAAGAGTAAAATAATCTCAGCAGATGAACTAATTTAAGAAAATATTGACATTTGCTAGAGTAATTAAACTGTGCTACCTTAAAAAAGTCATCTGTTTTATGTTTTCTTCTATTTTTATTACTTGGTATTATATATCAGTAAACATAAAAGAAAGAAAAAGGAGAGATAAAGAAAAACTTACTGGGATTGAAAATTCCTTGGCCAAATACTTCAGTAGGGATGATTCTTTGGCCAAGAATTTGTTTCTTTCCCTCATATTGCCTTGAAGTTGTGTATCAAACTCCTTTCTGACTACAGAAGCAACAGAGTCGATAATCACAAGTTTAATTCCTTTTGAAATAATTTCTTCTTCCAAAGATTCAATCCTATAAAAGCAGAATTTGTAAAATAATGAAAAATTTAAGATATAACGTAAAAATAGATTGTTATGAGGATTAATCAAAAATTTAAAATTATTACAAAAATTGCAAATTATTCTTCCTAAAGTTACATTGATGACTGCAAAAATCTCTTAACATCATTTATTTTCAGCTCTTCTACACATATTACACTTTTCTGGATATAGAGCAAAATATTTTCATTTAGTTTCAGAATTCCTTGATTGTCCCATGAAACTGCCAAAGCTTCAATTTTAGAGAAACACTACTTATTGTAGCCATTCTCCAAAATGGCTCCCACTCATTCCCACCTCCTGCTATTTCACACCCTTGGGTAGCTCCTTCCCACACTGTAGCAGAGTTGGTCTATGTGGCTAACAGCATAGGACAAAATAACGGTACATCATGTCTAACAGTAGACTATAAACATCTACAGTTTCCATCTTGAGTACTCTTTCACTTGCCCACACTCACATCACTCTGCAGGAAGCAAGTTGCTGTGTTGTGAGTCTACGGATATATCCACTTGGTGAGGAATAGAGGCCTTCCAACAACCACATGAGTGAGCTTGATGTAAGATTTCCCAGCCTAATTGAACCTTGAGATGACTACAGCCCTGGCCAACAGCTTGACTATAACCTTTTGAGCAACTTTGAGCCAGAAACTATCAGCTAAGCTACTCCCAGATACTTACCCTCAGAAACTATGTAAGATAATATATCTTCTGGGTGGTTTTATTATTGTTGTTTTGGGAGGGTTTGTTTGTTTGTTTGTTTGTTTGTTTTTGGTACCAGGGATTGAACTCAGGGGCACTTAACCACTGAGTCACATCTCAAGCCCTTTTTTGTATTTTATTTTGAGAAAGGGTCTCACTGAGTTGCTTAGGCCTCGCCAAATTGCTGAGGCTGGCTTTGAACTCACAATCCTCCTGCCTCAGCCCCCCAAGCCACTGGGATTACAGGCATGCACCACCATGCCCAGCTTATGTTTACTATTTTAAGCTGATAAACTTCGAGGTAATTTGTTAATTAAACAGCAGACATTATACCACTTATGTGATATCTAAAACATTTTATTCATTGATTTTTTTTCATTTTTAAAGAAGTCCTTCAAAGGCTACAGAAAATTAAAAAATGAAATAATTATTGCCCATAATTTGCATATGTAAAAATTTTTTGTTCTTACTCAGAAGCTGAAAACATGAAAAAAAAATCTGCAAAGCACTACAAAACTGTCAAAATATTAGACAACACACCTTTGTAGAACTTCATCACAGGTGAGTTCCCGGTAAAGATGAACTTTACTACTTGTCCAAAGTAATTTTTCTTCAGTGTTAAAATATCTGGGAAAACGGGATTCTGCTATTTCAACCAGTCTATAGGGAAAAAAAACAGTCAATATATTTAAACCACACTACTGAGACTCTAATACGAACTGGAAAGCTTATAAACCTTAATGATAGAGCAGACATAAGCAAAATAGCTTAAAATATAAGTTTTGAATGTAAGCTCTCCTTTTGAGCACTTATCAGAGGTTACATTAGAGGTTACATGAGACCAGTGAGGCTTTTAGATCTTCTCCAATTTTCAGCAAACAACAATGTCTCCAAGATCTATTTTTCTAGGAATATTTTTATAAACAATATTTTATCAAGCAACTAGAAGATATATTACTAAATAAGAAAAATGCTTTCATTTTCTTGAATTGAAAAAAGTACATTTGAACTTAGATGGCATATTATCATCCTAATAATCAGACATCAGTAAGTCTCCATATCTTATTCCAGAAAGATGTTTTCTCCATTAAAACCTAATTCAAATAAATACTATCCAATAGTTTCTTGGTAAACAGAAAATTATTATCTAAACAAATGAATACTATTCAGTTGTTTCTTAGTAAACAATAAATGATTTCTAAACACTGAATTCTGACCACAAAGCTACATCTAACATATGGGGAGCAGGCCAACCAAGAAGAGTGACAAGTGGAAATAGGCAATTATTATTGATAGAATAAGATATGGAGAGCATCATGAGAAATTACAAATGCTTCTGATTTCAAATGTTAAAAATATAACTCTTTAAGTGTAACTGTCTCCCATTTAAAATGACACTTTATCAGTCATACTACTTAGCATGCAAAGGGACAGAGTGGAGAGACAATAAACACTAAAACCATCCTATATTTTATGTTCCATTTAGAAACAAAAAAGTGCAAAAGAGCAGTGTTTTCACCCAAAACAGCTAGAGTTGCAAGAAAAGGCTGATAGCTTTAAAGAGACAAACAAAATAATAATAATAATAATAATTAATAATCAGAAACAAAAGAGAAAGCCCTGAAACAGGAAAAGAGAGAAATAAAACTAGTTAACAACTTTTTTTTTTTAAAGAGAGAGTGGGAGAGGAGAGAGAGAGAATTTTTTTAATATTTATTTATTTTTTTAGTTCTCAGCAGACACAACATCTTTGTTGGTATGTGGTGCTGAGGATCGAACCCGGGCCGCACGCAAGCCAGGCGAGCGCGCTACCGCTTGAGCCACATCCCCAGCCCTAGTCAACAACTTTTTAAAAAAAGAAATTGAAAAGAAAAAAAACATAATTTGGTTGAACAGAAAGCACAAAAAATACTTTAGGAGTAAGAATTATGCAGAAGAGGTTTAAAGAGAACAAAATGAATCACCCACCATTCAGAAGTGCTTGAGAGAAGCATAGGGTTTAAAATAGAAGAAGGAAATGAGGCAAGTGAGGGAAGAAAAGAGATGGCACTGGCAAAGGCAGAACAGGCAAATGCTGAGGGCTTGGTAGAAATGTTTTGTTTTGTTTGTTTCTAAGCTAGGGCAACCATTTGCTGAGTTTCGTGCTAGTCAGAGATAACATCTAAAAAGCTCTCATGCTCGGAACTCACCAATTTTTATTAGGATAGTATGGCAACAACTACCAGAACCATAGAAGTTTCTCAAAGTAGTTGATCAGGCACAAGATGGAGAGTACCTAACTCATTGGTTACAATAACTCAATGGCTGACAGGCATGAATAATTTTCTGCTCTTTAGCAGCATGATAGATTTCAACTAGTGGCCTGAGTGGTGAAGATTTCTGAAAATTATTGCTGCTACTCTTCTGTTAAGGCTTTTTGGAAGGAATAATGGTCAATGGACATGAACTATCTTTATTCACAGTTACCATTCTAAATAAATATATCAAATGGTTATCTACCTACCAATATGCTGCAATTCTCTGTAAGTTTCACTAAATTATTTTTATTCAACAAAAAAAATTAAATGTCAAAAAAACAAATACAAATGTAGTATTCTATATGCCTCATATTAATCACATTAATTTCTTATAGTCTTCACCACAAAGAATTTTTTCTTTAGAACAAAAAAGAGCTAATCTTTTACTCCCAGGCATTTAATTACATGAAATTTGAAAACACTGCCATCTAGTGGCTACCTTTTATTTAAAAAATCCTTTGAAATGAAAGGTAAAGATTCATCCATTCCACAAATATTTACTGAGGAGGAACTACAGGCATAGTTCTAGGTGCTGAGGATATGGCAATACAAAGGAATGAAAGGAAGGAAGGAGAAAAAGTAAAGAAAAAGAAAGATCCTTCCCTCATGGAGCTTATATTCTAAGAAAGAAGCAAACAAATATGTATTACATGCCATGTAATAAGTGCTCTAAAGAAAAGAGAAGCAGAATGAGGGAACAGAAATGTAACCAATGGAAGCAAATATGATTATATGTAGGGGGATTGGTAAAGCTTCATTTATAAAGTAACATTTAGGCTTAAAGACATGAGGAAATGAACTATGCAAATATCCAGTGGGACAGCACATCAGACTAGAGAACTATAGCAAGTACAAAAGTCCAGATGTAGGCAGAGACCTGATGTGTTTGAGGAAAAGTAAAGAAAATAAGTAGATGGAACACCAGAAGCAAGAGGGAGAATAATAGGAAATTGCCTCAAGGACACACCCTGTATAACTGAATTGTGAACAAAAAAAGTTACTTTTTCCATGAAGGCCATTTTTCCTTGAATGAATAAATGCCAAATTATGATTTTACATTTCCAGTGAAACCATGATAGTAATTGATAAAATTCAAAGTTTTTTTAATGAAAAATCAGAATTTTTTCTATCTTCCACCATGAGTTTGATACTTCCCACTATTTAATTCTTACTGAAATCAGTGGAAATACTGATGAGAGACTTTTTGAGAGTGAATAATAAAATATATCACATTTAGAAGACTTCTATAACTCAGTGAACCAATATTTTCCAAATGAGTAATTCTTAATATTATAAAATCATGTACAGGTAAATGTCCACTAAAAGTACAAAACAGATCAAATAGATTTTAATTTAAAATAGGAAAAATTCACTAATACAGTTTCAAAGTTTATCCCTCATCAAGTCTTAGCTTAGTTGGGCTGGGGCTGTAGCTCAGTGGCAGAATGCTTGTCTAACATGTGAGGCACTGAGTTCAGTCCTTAGCACTGCATAAAAATAAATACATAAAATAGTAATTTTAAAAAGAATGGTAGGGAAAAAAGTCTTAGCTTAGTATCAAAGAGGGAAATCTATAATTGTCTGAAAAGACTATAAAATATTCTTCACTTTCCCAAATACGTATCTGTGTGAGATCAGATCGTCTTCATATTTTTCCAACAAAAAAACATATTACCAAAGACTGAATGCAAAGCACATTAGAATCCAATAGTCTTCTATTATCAGACTTTAAAAAAGATTTGCAATCTTTTCTCTCATTTTTAAGCTTTGAAAATCTATTTTCCATAAAAATATGTGTGATGAATATTTTATGAATCAACTTATTAGGGTATGGTAACCTGTTATTCAGTTGACCATTATGTATTGCTGTAAAGAGATTTCATGGATATCAATGTTGGTAACAGCTAACTTTAAAAGAGATTGTCCTATATAATTGGGGTGGGCCTTTTTCAATAACTTGAAAGGCCTTAAGAGCAAAAGTGAGGCTTCTTTTAAAAAAAAGAAATTCTACCCATGGACTACAACTTCAAACCTGGCTTTCAGCACTTACTGAGAGCCTGCCTTGTATATTCCAGACAGCCTCTGCAATTGCAAAAGTCAATTATTCCCTACAATAAATCTCTTTATATATATACTCTACTGGTTCTACTTCTCTGATGGAGTCCTGCCTGATGCAGTGTATTAACATATTACACATTTATTATTGTATTTCTACTGAATTAATAATTAAATATTTTTTAAAATCCCTCAGTTTCTAACATGATAAACATCAATCAATATAATCTAAAGAGTTAAGATGTTGAAAAAAAGAAAGAATTACAGCCATAAAGGAAAAGCTGTAAGACTGAATACAACAAAAAAACATAGATAACAAAACATAACCAAAGTTAAAACATAAATGACAGACTAAAATAAAATCTTATATTCTTTAATATCTACAAAATATAATGTGTTTCTGTAAGTCCATAAGGAAAAAGAAAAAGAAAAAAGGGTAAAGTGTATTTCTACATAATTTGCCTAAGAAAGATAAACAGACAATGAACATATGAAAAGTTATTAGTCCATAATAGTTTAAAAAATGAAATGTCAACTTTCCCCATGACAAAAATTAAAAAACTAGAAAACAAAGTGTTGATGAAGACTTTCAAAATACTGTGTATTAGAACATATGAGTACCCCTGGGTTCAATCCCCAGTACCAAAAAATAAAATATTGTGTACAATATTTCTGGAGATAAGTGTGGCAGTTTAAATCACAATTTAAAATAAAACCATCCTGAATAGGTTTCCAATGGATTAAAACCACTAATATGAAAGATAAAACTAAATATATGCTTTAAAAATGAAGGATAATACTTTGTTGCCTAATAGTGAGAGAAAACTTTTTTTAAAAATATTTGTTTTTTAGTTGTAGTTGGATACAATACCTTTATTTTATCTCTTTATTTTTATGTGGTGCTGAGGATTGAACCCAGGGCCTCACACATGCTAGGCGAGCACTCTATCTTTGAGCCACAACCCCAGCCCCAAGAGAGAAAACTTCTTAAGATCCCAAAACCAAAACCATAAGACAAGTTCAAAATTACAAATTTCTGTTCAACAAGATACCATTAAATAAAGATAACAGAACAGAAAAAGATACAATGTTTGATAGGTGTTGTTGAATGAAGGAATGAAAACACTATCCAGATCCTTCCTCAAAGTCAATTATTTTTGCCAATCATTAGTTTAGTGGAAAGAGAACATGAATTCACCTCTGAGCTCTCTTACTAGCTATATGATCTTAGGTTAATCACATGACTTCTGAGTACCATTTTCCTTATTTCTAAGATGAACATCAACTCCAAGCATGGTAGCACATACC